GAAATATTGAGACAAACTATGAATGAAATGAATGAAATAGGGATTAATGAGACAATCGCTTGTTTGCCACAACTTTTTGTATACAACTGTTATGTTCTAAACGTAATACACGTGCAAATCATTGCATGCATCAATACATTCATAATTAAAAGTTAGTAGACTATAGTATAGTCACTATACCATAGCATAGCATTGCTTAATATCTTAATATAAGAAAAATTACATTAAAAAAATTTAAAATTCTAAAAACATGAATAAAATGTCTGGTGTTACATGACAGCAATATAGGCTAACTTTTTAGTTGGTGACAAAAGTTATGGGAAAAGTTAGTTGCACCAAAAAGTTTTGAGCGACTTTTGCGTGCATTTGCGCACTCAATGAGTGAACGCATTGAACGCATACTCCACTCAACACTCAATCATATGTTTGATTCACTGTTTTGTTTACATTTGTGTCAATTGTTTTGACACTCAGTCTTATCTGTGATGTGAACCCAAGAGTTTGAAGTTTACGCCAATGTTTACTCATTTGATTGATTTTGTTACATATTTGACACACCATTACGTGACCAGCAATCATGAAAATGAAATCAATTAAATGTCTAATAATTATATTAACACTAATCATAACACTATTGCTATGTTTGACAAGTTGTGGCAAACTTTTGACACAACAGTTATGTTACGTACTGTTGGTGACCGTCATTGTCTTAATAGCCATTCAATGGGCCCTTAAATACAGTGACAAACAGTTTGTTAATTGTTTTGTTGATTATAAGAGAGATTTATTACTATTGAAGTCATCCATTGAGCCAATCGATGGACAAACGTATTCCTCCTCAGCTGCCAAACCCCAAGCGGTGGACAACTATTTCGTGACCCGGACTCTGGTGTCACCAAATGTGGACCAATTGATGCAACAGTTGATTGATTACTGTTTAAGAGATTTCCTGTTTGTCTGGTATAAGGATTTGGCCGATGATTGCCATCGCGAGACAATCCGCTCGGAACTCAAGTATAAGACTTGCAGTCAATGATTGTCTGTCCACTCATTACCACTGATTATGTCTTTGATTTGTATGTCCCATAGAAACGAGTTTTGGGAACTGATCTCAAATATTGTCCGACGAATGGCATCAATAGACTCGGTGAAGTTCTTCACACAGAATGTCGCCAATCGGTGTCTGAAACACTTCCAGAAAATAACAATTTGTTTGTCAAACAAAGACAACCAAAACAACGTATACCTCTTGAGCGCACATTTGGCCGAAGATAAGGAGTTAGAGTTTATCCGAAAATTAAGTGACTTTTTATTAGCGATATTATTGCCAAAGAACTACTCGAAGACAACACCACTGAGACATCTGTTGCGAGAGATCATATCAGTGCAGGTGTTGAACGCCATTAATCTGATCTGTGATCCCATTTATTTGAACAAAAAACTCTTGGATTACCTAAAGTACCACAAAATAGAGTTAGAAAAACACCGACAAACCTATGCCTACGCCGACACCTACGAGGACTTCATCAAAATGATTAACCACTGCTGCGACGTCGAGGATCTCAAACGGATCAGGTTTCAGGTGATCACCGAAATAATGGAGGCGACGGTTATCAACAATCTTAAGAAGGAGAGGGGAATCGACTTGAATGAGAAGATGTTCTCCGGACCCATCACATCGGCCAAAGGGGATCAGCTGCAGGCGCGCAATCTCAAGAGGTATATCAATCAGTTGACGTTCGCCAAGAATCAGTGCGAGAAGCGCATCAATGCCATCAGTGGCGGACCAGCCATGGTCTCGAGCGATCCATTATCATCGGATCTGTTGCCGCAACCCAATCGCAAAACTGTTCTCGGATTCAAAGTGATTATGAATTCAGACATCTGCCGCTCGTATCTCAAGAAGTTTATGCAATACTCGCTGATCAGCAGCTCCAGTACGCCGGAAAGTAGGGGTCATTTGACGGTGTTTTGGGAGTCAGTGGAACAGCTGTCGCGACAAGAGATGTCCATACAGTACGAAATGGCGAACGAGATCCTAAATCACCCCAACTTTAGGGCGAATTTCATTAAATTAATTAATTTGTCGAAAAACACGTTAAAAGCGATGGAAGAGTTTGTTTTGGCCAACAGAGGACCGGAAGCATACTTTATCGCACAGACACTGGTGTACGAGATCTTAGAGCACAGGTATTACCCGCTGTTTATTGTGAGCAAAGAATACGACCAAATGTTGGATCAAATCCAGGATACACTGGAAAACACCAGCGATTCTACGTCTCTGAGGAAAGATAACGACGAATCAGATGATAGCGAATCAGACAGCGATGGCTTCAGCGAAGACAGTGTCGTCAATATCAGTGACTCTATCGTCGAGATTCATGTCTCGCAAACGAAACTCAAATTAGAGAATTTGACGCAAAAACTAAACGATAAGAGGAATGCGTTGAAAGCGCTCAAGAAGTCTGAGACCGAAAAGCTCACCAAAAGTTCGCTGAATGTCAACCAAAAACTGATTCAACTGTTGGAGAAAGAGGTGAACGATATGGTGAGGGATTGCAGTCAATTGGAGTCACATCTGGAGTGCACTGAGATGTGGATCTCAGGTATGGGTAAATGGCGGGCAGAGGTACACAACATTGAGTTGGATAACATCGACGGCTATTATATGGCGATTATCATAGTGTATAGGAATGATATGACAGAGTTATCATCCAATGGTTGGATCGTTGCCCGCAATTTCCAACAGTTCCTTGACTTGAAGCGAAGACTGTGTCCCAGTTTTCCGGCTCTAAAACGTCTGGATTTACCCAAAATGACAAAGAGATCCATTGTTAAGGACTCGCAGATGAAGACAATTAAACACAAATTGCAAACATTTCTCAATATAGTGACCACTAATGAGAAGATAAACCGTAGCGAAGATCTGTTCCTATTTTTATCTCAAAGCGCCGATAGTTTACGACAACCGGTGAATAGGGAGTGGAATACCTCTGCTCTCAAGTCAAAGATGCTGCCATTCGCCAAGTTCTTCGGCATCAGTACAAGTAAGACGCACGTGAGACACCCGTCCACCGATTCCAACACCGAAGCCGTGGAGAACTTAGACAATCAGTTCCTTATACTAAATGATTTGGAAAACGAGGACAACATTAAGGACGATATCGCGGAACCACTCTATGAACTAATCTCTGAGATCTTTGAGTTGAGAACTGTATCCAAATGGTTGCGAAGAAGTCTCGTGACATTCGTTCAAATGACTTTCGGTCAGACCATTAATAAACAGTTGCGCTCAACAGTCGAGTGGGTTGTGTCCGAGTCGATGATCGACTACTACTTGAGTTCTCTTCGGGACTCTCTGTGGCCAAACGGCAAGCTATCCGAGCCTTGGCCTCACAGCTCTCCGGAGGAGAGACAGAGGATCCAAGTGCTCGCCAAACAACACCTCATGAACTGTATTCCCGAAGTTTTCAACAATCTTTTAGGTCAGCAAACTGTTAAGAAAGGAATCGCCAAAGTATTCGACGGATTGCAGAATCAAATGCTAAACAAACAGCTATTTTATGTGAGATATTGTGTATTCATAACCAAAAACCTATTATTACTTACCATTTATTTCCCATTTGACTACAGGAACTGATCGAAACATTTATGTTTGAATTCGCACCAGAATTGAAAAGTTATTAATGTTTTAAGAATAAAGATTTTATCTAATTTTTTAGACTAAAAACTTAATCGAAAACTTTATTGTTAAACTCAGATTACAATTGGTATGATATACTCGTAAATTGATCCGTAAAACTCAGTAATCATTGGAATAAATCGGGAGTTAAATGTCGGGCCATTAGTTCTCGTAAACCCACGGCTCCTGATTGGGCGACCAGTCGACCAACTCTTTGGAGTTAAACCAAAGGGCGATCTCTTTGTTAGCGCTCTCCACCGAATCGCTTCCATGGATTATATTCCTAGACATCATTGGAGACAAAGATATTTGCGTTTTAATCAATGCTTTAATGTTTTAATCTCACGATATGTCATCATTTTGATAGACATTTATTTTACAGTTAATGTTTGCTTTAATTTTTGACTAATCATTAGAAAGTCATTACGAAAATGGAGACTCAAAAGTAATTTATAACTATAATTAAATTAATTCAATCGATTTATAGCTACAAAAAAACATTGAAAAATATTTAAAATTAATAGCAATTATAGGTTTTAATTAAATATTTAACGTTTAGTTATCAGTAAAGTGATAAGAAATACGGTTTCAATGGCATAGATATGACAATAAATGAGCTCAAAGTATGAGATAATTTGCAATAAGAATAGGATTTCAAATACTATGAGAGACAATGAGTAGTGAGACATACCTTCCGGTCTGAATACAGAAGTCGCCTCTAATGGATCCGGGCTTAGAGTCGGCCGGATTGGTCTCACCCAACATGACGCGCCCGGTCTTCACCACATTGAGGCCCTCCCACACCATAGGCACGACGGGACCCATTTGCATGTATTGGATCAATGAAGGGAAGAATGGACGCGCAGACAGATCCGCGTAGTGCTTCTTCAGCAGCTCCTCATCCGCCTGACACACCAAGACAAACACAAACACCATTCAATTGTCATATATTATTGACGGCATATTTCACGCCATTCCCACCGCAAAGACACGCCGTTTCGGCACTCAATTCATTGTCAATACCAATAAAACGCTCATTAATACAGCCATCGATGGATCAATTGAGTGACGAGTGGTCGACGTGTCTTTTGGTGGTAATCACGTGTGCGTGGAAGTGCTGTGAGGAGACATACGTTCAAGAACTTGATGGCCACCAGTTTGAAGCCCTTCTGCTCGAAGCGTTTGATGATATCGCCTACCAGTCCCCTCTGGACACCATCCGGTTTAATCATAATGAAACTTCTTTCACGATTCGCTGCCATCGCCGGTGATATCCACGAGTAAAGTGACAAAAGCGTACAAATCATACAATGAGTCCAATAGAGTGAACGCCAGACACAGACACGACTACCTCTACCGCTAATACACGCACTACCGGTGCCTATAGTGAGCAGCATTAGTGAGGGCGTTATACACCTATGCTTAAGCCTTACGCGTGTAATACTGAGGGGCAAACTGGAGCGCTAAGAGTCAGGGCTCAGGCTATGGCTTATCACTAGTTGAGGCCTTTTAATGGGATGTGGCATTAGTTTTAATAAATTCTTGTTGACGCATACAATGGGTTTGGCATTGAGTTGGCGAATAAATTATTTTTACACATACATTTGTACCGAACTTATAATACCTTTTCATAGCTAAGTAAACGTAAATTTAAACACAAAACTCGTGATTAAAAAGGGGCTAAAATGGCACAATTGCTACACAAATGAAGTGAACACATGTTTTGCTGCGAAATGTGTTAAAGTTTTTTGAATCGAGTTTTCATTGAATCGTTTGAATTGTTTTGTGTTTTAATTGCCATTAAATTCATTGTAAACGATGTCTGACGTGAAGACAAACCAAGACATGGTTGGGAAGAAGCGTCGCAAACGGCGAGTGACTGATGAGGTGAGTGAACAGGTCTTGGAGGCCATAGTCTTCGGCAAAGAATTGGATGTTTTGGAGAAAATCAGCAAAAAATGCAAAAACAAAGAAACGGATCCAAAGGTGGAGTTCTTCGAAGACAAGAGTCTCGCAGACCATCGGGTGGTGATCGACAGCGACGGTAGTGATGGCAGCGGAGGGTCTGATGAGTCGGATTCGGGCGATGAAATGGATGACACGAAAAGTGATTTCAATTTAAGACGAGTCGCTGAAGAAGTGATGGACAGCGAGACCAAGAAGAAGAGTGTTTGGAGTGATTCCGATGACTATATCGATGTGTCGGACGCTATGAAGGACTGCAGAAAATTACCGAAAAGAGTGACCAAAGAAGACAAATATAAAGACTATTTGGAGAATAAATTCAATGATTTGTATAAAACGCCGAAATGGGCGCAAATGGCAGACAAAGACAAGTCGAGTGACGACAGCGACAGTGATAGCGACGAAGACGTGGATCAGACGGCGCAGAGGTTTAAGGCGAGGTCTCAAGGCCTGGATAAGAGGTTTTTGGCGTTTAAGAAGTGCACGCATTTGACAAATGACCACAAAATGAAGGTATTTATAGCCATTTGACTATTGGTTTGGGTTTTGATGTAATCGTCTGATTGTCTCGTTCGCAGTCATCGCTAAATTGTGTTGAGTTTCATCCGACCTCAACGGTGGCGATGGTGTCGGCGCCCAACGGAACGGTACGCCTATTCCAAGTGGACGGCAAAATCAACGCCAGAATACAAAGCATTCAATTCAAGGACTTTATGATAGAAACGGCGAAATTCAACAAAACGGGCGAAGAGTTGATTGTGGGCTCGAAGAGAGAGTCCGGTTATTACTACTATTACGATATGATTGTCGGAAAGATTGTGAAAATACCGTTCATTAGAGGCAAACAAAAGCTGTCGTTAGAGAAGTTTGTTCTCTCGGATGACCACAAACTGATTGCTTCCAAAGGAAACAATGGTTTCATTCACGTGTTGACCGCAAAAACCAAAGAACATATCTTTGACCTCAAAATGAACGGAGAGGTGATGTCATTGGACTTCAGCGAAGACTCTAACCTACTGTTCAGTCATGGAAATGAGGGTAAAGTGTATGTCTGGGATGTGAGGACAAGAAAGTGCGTCAATAGGTTTGTGGACGAGGGATGTGTGACCGGCACTGCCATCAGACTGTCGCCCGACTCGAAGTACTGCTGCACCGGATCCGATATGGGGGTCTTAAATGTGTATAAATATAGTGATGTCTTAACGCAAACGCAACCGAAACCACTGAAGAGTTTAATGAATTTAACGACAGAAATATCACATTTGAAATTCAATCACACCTCAGAGTTATTGCTGATGTCGTCCACGGCTAAGGATAACAGTGTTAAATGCGTTCACATGAATACGTTAACTGTTTATCGAAACTTCCCGTTTGCGGCCAAAAATTATGGCCGTATTTACGATACAGACATTTCCCTCAATAGCGGTTACCTTACGTTCGCCACGAATGGCGGAACCGCTCACCTCTTTAGGCTAAATAGTTTTGGCGATTATTAAGTACTTTAAAGTTATCGTTATATTTGAGTACAGATTTTTAGAAATCTCTAATTGATATGAATTGTCACATAAATTATGTATATTTTAATTATACCGTAAATGAAATAAAAATTATTTTTACCGGCATTGGAGTAATTTCTAGCATTGCTGTTGATGTTTATGAGATTCAGTAGCAATAGTCGTCTGAATACCATTTAAACAAATTTAAATTAAGTGTGACTTTAATTTGTTTACTAATTATAATGATTATAAGAGTCGTATCTCCTTTTTGGCTCATTTCTGTCAATAGTTTGTCAACACATCGAAATAAATAAGGAAAAAGTTGAATGAATTTTATTTTATGAGTTTGTTATTACATTGCATTTTCTCATTGAATTAAATTGAATTCAATTGGTTATAACATATTGTGGTAAATATAATTAAAATCTATTTGTTTGTTACAAATTTCCACAAATATTCCCGTTTTCCATCAAACATTCCTAAGCATCAAGGCCGTTTATTTGGCCCACAACACTTGGAACAAGTGCTCAAACTGGTGGTCCCTTTCATTTATTTAAGAGATATACTGGTGTTTGTGATGATAAATATAATTAGCCTGCTTTCTCGTCTGTTATCAGTGCAGTTCTGGTTAATTTCAGTCTTAATTATTATTTATTTATAGTTATGATTACAAAAATTTCGTACAATTTAAATAGTTCATAAACTTTTTACTAATTATACAGAAGTAGTAGTTTTTTGGCAGTAAATGTTATGATAGTAGACGTGCACTGGAATATTCAATGATACAATAATACATGTATAAATTAACCATTTTAAACACATTTGTAAACACCGGGCTCAGTTTTAATTTAGAACTATGTTATGATTTTAATTTAGTGACTTATACTGTATTAAGTGTTTATTTAGGGAAATATCAATTGAAATAAGAATTAATTTGAGTCTAAATAAAACTTTTATTAAAACCTGCTAATATTAAGCATAATTAACCCAGATGCTGCATATATGAACTGTTGCTTTGATTTGTTATAATTTGTAATTATAAATTTATGTGTAATTGAAACCAAAGTCTATGCAAACAATTGGTGCAAACGAGTTGAGGCCAAAGCTCGACCTAAACGATGACAACTCGGGAATGTGTCTCCATATCTCCATATCTTACACTAATGTACTATATATTAGCCCTTATTATGGACTTTGAATGTGTTATATAATATAGAGACTAACTACTGATAACATAGAAATGTCTGCAATCACTGTAAGAGTCATCCGCACACTGCAAATGAACACAAGATTATCTAAATCTTGTCTTAAGACAATGCAATCATTTATCCGTGTATTGCAAATAAATGGTGAAGTTTTTAAGAAAGTTACAATAACTGTATTATATTTCATTTGGATAATCAAAAGCATACAAACAATTATGAGATATTATTCATAGATTTTCAATGGGAAAGGAATTATGAATACTAATTGATTGAAATAATCCCCAATAATATTTGAGTTTTATCAATCATTTCTAAATCATTGAATGTGTGAATCATTTCTATAAATAATGGACAATAAATTGAGATTTTTAAATATATTGCTATTATAATAGGATTACATGTTAGTGATTGGAATATCTATTGCATAATTACCGGCCCTTTTATGATGGGATCGACACTCTATTTCTTAATAAGAAAGTCATTAATATTATAAGATTTTGTTAATTGTATATCAATTTCTAAGAGGATTGCAATAACTATTTCAGTGAATAGTTACAAAAAAATATATTTATTGTTTCTCTTTAATACAAAATTCATGTCATAATAATCATAATAATGTAGAATTTGTAGAATTATGTGGTTATCAGTGAATTGTGTACTTTGATATTTACTTTTTTAATTGTCTATACTGTACATCATAAGAGTTTTGTACTAAAATACTTTATGTAATATTTTAGCTCAATTATATAATAGCACAAAAGTCAAATAAATGTACTGCTTTATTAAATGCTCAATCAATATATAAGTCAATTAATCAAGATTACTTAATAATAATATTTAATATAAATTATATTGAATTTGTATTTTATTAAGAAAACATATTTTTTAAATAAAATTCTGTGAATATTATATTTGATGAGTTTATTTGTTTGTTTTAATCAATTAATCAGAAATAAATACACAAACAAAATATAACATATTATTATACTTTATTACATAGTATAAATATATTAGATACAGTATTAATCAGGAATTTGAGTTAAACCAATATAAATACATTAACAGGTATTGGCAAACATTATCACATGTCCCTTATCATTAATTGATTGTTATAATGAACCATTAATTATGGTACATTATACTGTACAGTACCAATAAGCATTACCAGGATAAATTATTGACTGACTAATATAAAAAAACAATACAAATTCCAAAATCATTAATGCTACAAAAAATGAGTTCTGTATGTGTTATCAATTATAGTACAAAAGGTTTAAGTTTAACATTTAAAATGTGATAACAGTTGTGAGAATACCTATAAATTCAATGTCATTTCCAATGAATTGTGTTTCAGTAGTTTATAATAGTTTTCACCTAGTTTATTAATTTATTTATTTTCTAATATTCTTGATTTTTCTACTTTTGTTTTATGCTATTATAAAAGTGCTGAAAACCACATTAGGTTGAGAATAGGGTACAAATTATTAAAAAATATTGAAAATGGGTAAAATTGTGTACGGGATCATATTGGTGGTGGGTTTGGCACTGGTTATCGCCGGGGCTGTAGTGCTGGGAATTATGCCCGGAATTATTAAAGACAAAATAAAAGAGGTATTTTCTATTGTATTTCATTAAATATTAAAATTAGCTTTGTAATATTTATTTTTATAAAATAACTTAATTGTTTAATTTATTAATATTTTAATGAATAAATAATATATATTTAGTAGGAATTAAATGAATAAGTTGAAATTATTAAACAATGTTTATCATATATTGTTTGGTTATATTTATAATATATAATATAATTTATAATATTTTAACAATTATATTACAATCATCCACTACAAATATGTTTAATAATTATAAATACTTTGTTAAAATTAACACTAAATTATATAAATATAAATTCAAATATGTATTTAAAATGTTTTGAACTGTAGGTCTTTTCATAAGGGTAATATTTCTTGACATTTATTGTTATCTCAAATTATCATTTAATAATCACTAGTTTTATATTATTGAGACAAGATTTCACTTTTTTATGCTATTAATTTTTAATAGTGGTTAATGTTATTATTAGTGGTTAGTATTAGTTATTAACAAACAATTATTGATTAATATAAAATTACTGAATTTAGAATAAATGGTTTACTTATTAACTGAGTGCTGGTTGTCATAAATAAACTGAACATAAGTTGATAACTTAGTTAGAATTTATATTTATTTGTATCATGCGCAAAATTTATAGTATATTATATATTTTTAAATTTAAAGCATATGTAACTTAATAAACAAATTTTTACTTAATTTGACAATAATTGACTCAAATTGATAGGAAGTGCCCATAACTGAAGGCAGTGACGCGTATGACCGGTGGCAGAAGACCCCGGTGCCCCTATACATGGCGTTCAGGTTTTTCACAATAAAATATACAAACTTTACTTCTCTGGAAGATCTTCAGTTCCAAGAGAAGGGTCCGTATGTTTACAAAGAGGAGAGAAGTAAAGTGAACGTCAATTTCACGGATGACGGCAATCAGGCCTCGTATTACGAACACAAAGTCTATTCGTTTAGCGAAGAGAAGTCGTGTAAAGGGTGTAAAGAAAGTGACAACATCACTTTCATTAACTTCCCAATCTTGGTAATGATCACTTATGAGACAATGTTAACAAGCTAGCTCCATAAATAACTATTGATATACACATAGGGAATAGCATTCAACACTGGATTTAAAGATATGGACAATACAACAGTGCAATGGTTTTTCTCAGGGCAATTAAAAACTCTTCCCACAAACGAGAGCCGTCTGTTTGTAACAACACCGGTAGGCGATATCTTATTCAATGGCGTCCCGTATAAGATGTTTGAAATGTTAAATGGCATGTTTCCAGATATTCCAAAGAGATATGGTATATCCGATGTAAGGCTCCCGGCTCATTTTAAATATGAATTAAAATTTTTTATTACACATAAATAATAATTTGAATGAATAAATGTGTGACCAGGGCGAAATATTGAATGAGGAAGAGTGGACAGTATATACTGGCAAAAAGGACATTGCTCAATTGGGACAAATTACATCGTTTGATCATAAAACGTATGTTATAATCAAACATAAACTCATACGAAACACATACTAATTATATGATTAATTTTGAAGTTCCCTAACAAATGACGATAAAAATCAATCAGTCGTTTGGAAAAAGGATAAAAAAGCCGAGACATGCAATAAACTGAAGGGAACCGATGGGTCCATATTCGCACCCGACCTCACCAAAGATGATATAGTCTATGCATTTGAACCACAACTGTGCAGGTTGGTTTTCACAATGTCATTAATACTATTAATGTCGTTAAAGAATATCATGGTAATTTAAATACTAACATTGAGCGCATTTTTGAAAACATAGAACCGTTTACTTCAAGTACTGGAAAGAGACTTCGGTGCAAGACATCGACACGTATAGGTTTCGAGTGCCCAAGGACTATTTCGAGAACCCCAATATCAATGACAAGAACACGTGTTATTGTCTGTATGATGACATGAAGAAGCAATGCAGGCACAGTGGTTTGCTCGACATATCCCACTGTCAGCGACGATCATTAGGCGGACCCATCATCATGTCGTCCCCCTATTGGAACAACGGTGACGACAGTCTACTCAACCAATTCAAAGTGCCGATTGTATCGCCACAAGAGCGCAACGATGATAATTATGGCACTATTCTCGACATCGAACCGGTATTTATTTATATAGATTTAGATTTATGCATTAATTGATCAAGTTCAAGTAATGATTGTGTGATAACCAGATGACGGGAACCACTCTGAGGGCGTACAGAAGAATGCAAATGAATCTAAAATTGTCGGGAAGTGATGCTTATAAAGACTATATGCCGTGAGTGATGATATAGTATATGATTTAAATGTAAAACTTTTTAAACCGTACTAAATATGATGACTTGAACATATTGCAGGCAATTAGCCAAAACTGATAAGAATAAGGATTATATTATACCCGCCTTTTGGGTCGAAGAGGTATTGTTTTTAAATATATTTTTATTTAATTAAATTACATATTAATTGTTTGGACGGATAGACGGCTGAGGCTGATGAGGATCAGGCGGATAAGTGGAAATCAATGGTGGGGACGCCTAAAAAGGTTGCAAATGGTGTGTCCATTGCGGCGTGTGTTGTGGGGGCTCTCATGACAATCGCTGCCATTTACCTGTTTATCAGAAACCGATGAAAAACTATTTATTAGTTTATTTAATAGAAGTTTTTAAAGTATTATTCATCACTTCATTGTTTCACTTAATTAAAGTATCATGGCATTTGTACAATTATTACTTATATTGACAAAATAAAATATTATTTAAATAGTTTCTAGTAAAATAAATTGAGTTGATTTTATTAATTTGTATTTTAGTAAATAAGCATGGATATTTTGGCAACATAAACGTTAGGTAATAATGCTAGAAATAAATAATAGATACTATAATACTAGTGTTGAGATATTAATAAAATAGTGTAAAAAAATTTATTTTTTAAAAACTTTAGTTTGTTTTCAAATATCATGTATAATATATTAATTTTAAATAAAAAAATTGCTAAATATTTGTAAGAATTATATTGATTTCAAATATTCTTGAAATCATAATCAATTAATTTTATTGGTAACTATTAAAATTGTTAGCATATTTACAAACATAAATATATTTATAATAAAGAAAATAAAATAGCAATTATAAATATCGATTTACTGCCAAAAAGTAATAACAATTAATTTTAAATGTTATACTGTACTACAATTTGCTTCAAAAATATGAAATACTCGGAATAATTATGTAAATTAATGGGATGTATAGCAAAAATTATATTCATTTATAATAAACATTGGTTTTTTACGAGTTTTAAGTATAAATACATA